AGATAGATAGATAGATAGATAGATAGATAGATAGATAGATAGATAGATAGATAGATAGATAGATAGATAGATAGATAGATGGATGGATGGATGGATGGATGGATAGATGGATAGATAGATAGATAGATAGATAGATGGATAGATGGATGGATGGATGGATGGATGGATGGATGGATGGATGGATGGATGGATGGATGGATGTAAATATGTTGCAATATTGTTCTTCTTGCTCTGACAAATTAAACCATATGACTGCAGAATTTTTCTGTTTGTTTTATAACCAATACACTGTTGCTTTAAAGAACAAACTGTCTGAGTTGAATTTCCATACAATCTTTATTTAACACTTATCGACTAACTTCTCAAACAGAGACAGATATCTTACAGCCCTTGCTGAGGCTGCCCTCTCTCTCTCCTCTTCCCTCTGCCTGGTCCTTTAAAAACTGAAGCACATCCTTACTATCCCTGCCTCTCTTCTTCTGAGGCTGGCTGGCCTTGGCTTCATCAGTCCAAGGGGCAGAGGCCAGTGTGCTGACTGTGCCACCTGCAGTGGCTGTCATGTTTGCTGCAACTACCAGGGGCGGACTAACCGAGTGCTGCCTCTAGAGTCCATCAGACTGTACCGCTGCCAGCTTCTACCCCTTTCCCAGTTGGTCGGTCCCTGAAATCAGAGTGTTTGTTACTACACTGTGAAGCTCAGTGTCTGAACATATTCACAATGTTAAAGTCCACTTTATTTCAGAGCCACTGCCTCTGTTCTGTTGTCTGTGTTAGGTTTCATATTTGGGCTGGCAGACTAAAGCTTAAGTTGTTTCTTTAATAGGAATCTCAGTTAGCATCTCTTGGTGTAATTCAAAGCAAAGAAACAGATTACCTTGTATTTGCCCTTCAAGTTGTTCCACTTCTTTTTGGGTTTGTTTGGCATTTATAACCAGGCCAGAAGTGGTCACAAAATCTCTGAGGAGGTCATAAAAACAAAACAAAGAATAACTACTCATTCAATAAGTTCAGAATTGCTATGGATGGAGGCTGCCTAAATATGACTCAGTCCCTTCCTCGATATACAGGCACTCAGAAACAATACTCACTCCCATCCACATTTTGAGAACTTCTTCTTCGCCATAAAAAGGACTTCATTTGAGGATCGCCACTCAATCAGGGCTTGGGTTTCCTCAGTTGTCCCTTGAATAAAATAGTACATGAGTGGTTAGCAGTATACCAAGTAGAAGACATTTGCATGATTGACATAAAACAATATAGTTAATAGTACATCGTCAGAAGGTTGCAAACATTAACTTTGCCATCAGCCAAGCATATATGCCCAGAAACAAATACAATTTTACACGGACCCCGTTAAATTTACACAAAATTATTTATATCTCATGTTTAACTGCTGCAGGTAAATCAAAGCCAGCAGCAGATTTCAAAAGGACACACTGAAATAAAGCGAGTATGATGAGTGCTGACCGCCCAGTATTCTCCTTTGTTTAAGGGGCACGCTAGCAGTCCTGCCAAATCTCCGAAAACGTTGGAGAAAATTTTTAAGGAAGCTTTATCTTTAAAAATTGACCACATATCATAAATGTAAACAACTATACTCTTGCCTGAAAAACTCTTAAAACTACATTCCGTGACACAACAAAGGTCAAAATACTCACAGTTGTGGGTCTTCTCTGGCATTGTCGCCAAGTTTGTTGCGAAATGCATTCTGGGATACTTGCTGTCTGAAGTCCACACAGTCCGGTCTGATGCAGACTCCATAATGTGGGCGGAGCCAGAACACATCCGCGCATTTCATCCGTACTTGGTCAGATGCCTCCTTAGAATTGGGACAGAACTTGGTCTCAGACTGATGACGTTTCACAGGACTGCAAGAACGCAAGTACGGACAAGTAGGCACATTGAGACACCGCCTCTGTCCTCAATGCTGCTGCTCTCATTGGACTGTTGTATTGATGTGCTCTGATGGACTGCACCACCTGCACCTCTAAATACAACTGTACCTACAGCTGTACCTAGCAACCCACCAGCTACCACCTCAATTCCTAAAACCGAAAAGTCCTTCCCATATTCTTTTAGGCAATGAGACAATTTACACCTGACCGATCTGAGGGCTTACTACCAGCTGATCTACCTGAGGGGTTACTACCAGCTGATCTACCTGAGGGGTTACTACTAGCTGATCTACCTGAGGGGTTACTGTCAGCTGATTGAGCTGCTCGGTTCTGTTCCTCTCTGATGAAGGTCTCAGCCATCCTGAACATATCAGAGGTGTAGTGTTCTCCTCCATTAGCTTCAACCATATAATCTATCTTATTCAGCAGCTCTCTGACCTGCAGCCTCTGTTCTCTCTGAGCGTTGTTGAACACAGAATACCTCCCCCCACACATGGACACCAGATCAGACACCCAGCAGTTGGACTGGATCAGCTGATCCATGGAGCTACCTCTCAGTTCATCTCCATGAGTGAAGAGCACCATGAGGTACTTAGAGGCTTCTTCTCCAAACAGTTTGGGCAGCAGCTCAAACAGTTTCTTGTCTGCTTCAGAGACTCTACCTATTCTGACCACAATAACAAAGGCATGAGGTCCTGGACTGGCCCTCACCAACGTCTTCATGATCTCCAGGTAGAGCTGCTCAGGAGTCAGAACTTCATCAGTGAATCCTGGAGTGTCGACCACGTGGACCTGCCGATCGTCCACTAAGGCTGATTCAGAGACACACTCTGTACTGACTGAGTCAAAGCCAGAGGCTGATTTAAACTTCCTGGATCCCAGGATGGTGTTTCCTGATTCACTCTTCCCGACTCCAGGTCGACCAAACAGCACGATCCTCCTCTGAACAGGCTCCTGGAGACCAGCTGGAAGACAGAGAACATTAGAACATGTT